CTCTGCCCCTCTCCTGCTCGTTCTCTCTCTCTCTCTCTCTCTCAAAAATAAATAAACATTACAAAGAAAAAGACATCAATTTGAAAAGAAAATCTTCAATGCCCACTGAGAAGAGAACATTTTCTGAGTGCTTTGCAATTATACCAGAGCCATATGCTTGGTTCTAGCGTGAAACTGCTGCTCTGAGCTGCTCCTACACCATTTCCTTCCGCACATCTTAACTTGCAGAGAAGATGTGACAGCCTCAACCATGGCTTGGACCACTGAGGGGGAAGCAGCAGCATGCAAGCCCAATTCAGCCCAGAGTGGAGGGAAGCCAGGCGTGACAGACACTGATTTCCTTTCTTTTTCTCCAGAGGCAGCAGCTAAGCTGAACGCAGAGGGCCAAAGTAGTTTTCTGTCTCCACAGCAGTCTCCACATGCTTTTGACAGAATGACTTTTTTGGGGGAGAAAAGTATAGCCTGGGAATGCCTGCTGGTTGCCTGAGACCCCTGGGCAGGAGGACACACATGAGTAAATTCATAGTCCAAGGGCTGGTCATCACATCTACAAGTTCAGAAAGTTTGGTTTTGAATTCCTAAGGAATCAAAGGTTTATGGATAAACTAAAACTAACTGAAGTCACTAGATACATAGAGGTACCAGAAAAGCAAGACAATGGAGTCCCCTGGCAGCCCTTTCTTTCCCTTATTAAATAAAAAAAACCTTACAATTAGAAAGCTGTTTGACAAATAAGTCAAAGCACAGGGAGTCCTCTGAGCAGGCTATGTGCAATCCCAACCCATAGCATTAAGCAGGGATATGATCCACAAACTGCCCCAGAGCCTCCGTCCTTGGCACAGACCTTTGCTTTGGATGGCGCCAGGGGGGTAGGCTAACTGCCAACAGGAACCCAAGTGTCTTCTTTGGCGCGCTGTCTGCACCTAGATGTTTGTTGAGCTAAACACTGTGTTGGGTGCGGAGGATACAGCAGTGAAAGAAACGAGTCACTGGCCTCATGCAGTCTACCGCCCATTGTGAGGGAGACAGGCAGAAACAAACCAGTAAGTGCGTAATCACGAGAGAAGAAGAGGATGTAAAAGGAGATGAACAGAGCACTGTAATGATAAATAACAGAGAAGGCTCTGCATTCACAGGGAGTCAGGAAGGCCTGTGTGGCTAACACGTAAGGGATAAAGTAACTTGAGAAAAGTTTGCAGAGGTAAGAAAGGGCCAGTAACCCTGCGGGCCTTCTGGGGGAATCTGGGTTTTATTCCAAATGCAATGAGATGCACTGAAGGGTTTTAGGCAGAAAAGAAATTATTCAATCTACATTTTAAAACATCGTTTGGTAGCAGGAATGGATTTCATGGGAATGGAACAGCAGGTGGACATTTTCTTGGGCAGTACTATAATAACACCATTGTTGAATCTCAGTAATGGCAGCAGAAGTGGACAGAGTCCAGATATGTTAGGACAGTAATGGCTTACCAATTAGAGACTTGGAGTTGAGGGAACAGGTAGCAATCACATACAATCTCCAAGATTCTAGGTTGAGTAACTGGGTATGTGGTGGAGTTGTGCCCTGAGATGGGCAGACAGGGAAGGAGTAAGTTCTGGGGCTAGAATCAAGAGTTGTCACCGTGGACATACTACAGATTCCTGTATGATATCTGGATGGGGATATTACATGGGTGGTAATGTACACAAGACTGAGGCCTGTCTAGCTACAGACAGAAGAACTGACAGCGGACAGTTAGCAGACAGGACAGCTTAGAACAGGAGCATAAAGACAGAGGGTACTATGACTGAGCACTGAGGAATTCTTCACTCTGGAGAAAGATGAAGAAAACGCCAGCAAAGAAGACTGAGAAAGATCCAATGGTGGGAATAAAGCCAGAAAAACACTGGTGCCGTAAAGAATCTTAAAAGAAGAGTGTGGTTAACTGTCATGACTGCTGAGATAATACACAGGATGCAGGGGGCAGCAGCCACTGAAATTGGGGGTGAAGCCTGACTCACGCCATGATGTACTGGAAGAGACCACTGAATGGACTACAAGCACAGAGCTAGTGGCTTCAGTTCCTACATAAATCTGCTTGTTTTGTTCACCTCTAAATAAAGTGCCCTACATTTGCTTAAGCCTGAGATCACCGCAGCACATCACTGATTTCCCCCGGGGTTTCACCAAAGCTTTAAAGTAGACTATATATCTATGTATATTCTTTTACCAGATGTTAGGCTTACAAAAGGAAATATCATGAGATATATTTGAAACCAGCAAGCTGTGTCACTTTATAAAATTCCCCTTGTTTCTGTTGTGCATGTTCGTCAGCTTTATGTGGATATTCTTCCTGTCATTTTCTACATGAATTTATCTAGAAGGTGGAGAGTATTTCTTCTGTATGTTACATTATGCACTAAAATAGTCTTATAAATAAAATCACCTTTAAAATAGAAAGGTGTTGGGGCGCCTGGGTGGCGCAGTCGGTTAAGCGTCCGACTTCAGCCAGGTCACGATCTCGCGGTCCGTGAGTTCGAGCCCCGCGTCAGGCTCTGGGCTGATGGCTCGGAGCCTGGAGCCTGTTTCCGATTCTGTGTCTCCCTCTCTCTCTGCCCCTCCCCCGTTCATGCTCTGTCTCTCTCTGTCCCAAAAATAAATAAATGTTGAAAAAAAAATTTAAAAAAAAAAAAAATAGAAAGGTGTCTT